TTGAATGAAATGCCTTCAGTGCAGCAGATCAGAGTCCTAATTAGAAGATTGAAATGGAACTCCATTGGGAGGGAGGGGTCCTGCTCCCCTGGGAGAATGTTGCCACTGTGAACTGCCTACTGAAAATACCTGTCCCCAGCGGGAGTTCATCATCTCAAAGATGTTGTTCATGTTGTTCATCAGAGCCAGGAACTTCTTGTCCTTGTAATCATATCGCTTCCCAAAGACAATGGAGCATATGACATTGGAGACAACACAGCTCAGCATGTTGGTTGGGTCAAAAGGTGTTCCTGTGATTGCAGAAAAGTTACAGACTATAAAAAATGCCCATGAAATGTTGTATATCTACTAATGGCTACTGTGGGTAATCTGAACTCTGGTTATCAGTGGAAATATCAGATCAGTCTCTGAGTGACACAGAAGGGTCCTCCAAAGAGAATAGAACATGACCACAAAATTGCTACAGCTTTGAGATAAAGGGTAGCTGGTGCATGGACCAAATCCATAGGAACTTCATTCCTTGCTAAAGATGTGAGCTCCCCTAATACAGCCTATTATTTTCAAACATAAAATATATTAAAAATGGACTGTACCCTTTGTTTTGTTGATCTCTTCCAGCAAGTAGTCAGATTCCTCCTGTATCCTCTCTTCAATGCTCCTCTTCCCCATTCCAAAGTTCCGCAGAGTGGTGAGAGAAAAACGCCGGACTTGTAACCATGGCTCATTGTTGCTAAAAATAATCCCTGTGGAGGAAGAAGGAAGAGAGGGACTTGTCACCATGGCTCATTGTTGCTAAAAGCAATCCCTGCAGAGGAAGAAGGAAGAGGGAAGACCTGTCTTGGGCATGCTGGATGTGAGATGAGCAGTGGCTCATGGTGACAGTGAATCCTGTCCCTGGAGAGCACTGACATGGCAGTGTCACAGCGTACTGTGGTTTGGAGGTTTGTAGTCCAACTGCCTGCTTTTGGCCTTCACTATATGCCAAACATCCTTGTGAATAATTCATCACTAACCCACACACAATTGCCCTTGTTACAGCTGGTGCTTGCTGCCCCTTGCCATTTCCCTGCCCAGCTTTGAGAACAACCTGGCTCCCCTTCTCTGCTACCTCTCACCCTTTGAAGTGGTGGAAGTCAGCAATTACTGCTCTCTCTGGCTTTCCCCTCTCCAGGTGGGTTGCACCCACCCCTTACTGCTTTCCCTCATGCAAGGTACACTCCAGCTCTAATCTGCTGAAACATTCTTAGCCCTTCCCTTCGCCTTCAGCAGCAGCTCAGACAGCAGCCATACCTAATCCATTGTTAGCCCTGTCTCCAATTGGCATGTGTCCTCTGGCAGCAAACTCGTCTGCGCGATCAACCAAGGCTTCTTTTACCACATCATGACCGTGCAGCACCACCACTGGGTCAGAGCCCAGGTGTACTGTGAACACTGGTCCATACTCTTCACTGAGCTGTAAAAATGCAAGAGAGAACATGGCCATGGAGCAAATAGTGAGGAAGAGTGGGAAAGTCTCCTTGCTGGTGCCTCCCACAGCAGGCAGTTAGCCTCACACATTGGTAACATCAAGATTTGGTTCTCTCGTGATAAATGTGGCTGTGGAGATGGCTCCCACTTATCAGGCCCTGAAGAACATGGCAAGAGCAATGAAGGAAAGCAGCTGCAATCCCCATGACTTTTCTGCTCCTCTAGCAGGTTACCTATGATGGGAAGGGGAGCTGGTCCTGGAGGCATCTTCCCCTTTCCAGACCTTCCTTTCCATGCTGCAAAGGAGAGCAGGCAAGCAATGCAAACCAGGAGGACAACGGTGACTCCTCCCAGGAGCTCCATTTGCTTCTATGGCTCAGGAGGGAGTGACTGGCTGTCAGATTCTGAGTTTATATACCGAAGGTCTGTGTTAGCTCAAGATCAGATTTTGGGTCACATGGCTGAGTCAGTCAGTGTTACTAGTCAATCATTTGTTAGATCGCCCTGTGTTATGAAACTAAGACTTTTATTGGTATTAATTATTCATTGAAGACACACCTTATCTCAAACAACTACAGATGCCAACAGAGATTAGGATATCTGTAATATCTGTGTTCCTAAAACTTGTTTTACCTAGAGTTTATTGTTACAGAGATCATGCGAGGGGCACACTCTCCTACTGAGGTGCTCACAGATATTCACTGCCACAAGAGCACCTTCCAAGTACTTCAGTGACATTTGGGTTTTCTGTTCTTCAGGATTGATTGTGCAAGCCCTCAGTGGTGTGAGCCATCGTTCATTGTTCCTGAAATCTTCCTGACATTATCAGTAAAGTTCATACTGCGTGTGATTTGCCAAAGGACCTGCAATTGTGTTTTCCCCAGTGCACAGCAATAGCCTCAGCCTCTCTCCCTAGGGGTGTCTGGCCTCACAAGGGAGGAAAGTATAAAATCTCTATCTAGCAAGGCCAGAAAGGTCTCCAGACATGACAATAGACAAGAAAGGTCTTGCTGGGTGAGACAAAATGAAGATGTAAGAAAAGGGGACGAGACCTTGAGACTCTGACCTCTTCAAGGTCTCCTAGAGGAGAAAAAGAGAAAAACAGTCAGAGAAGAGAGAAATCCAGAACTTGAGAGAGTCTCTGTGAAATGGCTTCCCAAGCTGGGACAAAGCTGCCCTTGTCCAAGGCTGGGTATAGACCATTGCAACCTGGCAACTGGTCCTTGCTCTTACCAAAGAAGCTCATCTAACCCACAGCTGGAAGCTGCCATGCAGAGGTTCTTATTTTGTTGATGTCTGACTCCACTCTGAGGAGCTAGTGCCCTGGAAGTTCCCTAGGTGCTCTGGGAGACAGCAGAGCATGTCCGGTGTGTTGCAAGAGCTTTAAAAAAGCGCTGGGGACTTCCTGCCCAAGGTTACTCCAGGCCAGTGTACCAGCGGGGTCCCAAGAGCAGTGGCAATGGCTGGTAGAAACAACCCTCAGGGCTGTGCTCAGCTTGTTCAGTCTGGCCTTAACCCTCCTTCTCTCCTGAACTTTGACACATTTGCAGGAAAAACTGATCAGAAGGTGTGGCAAGGATAGGGGATGTGGGACTTGGTGGGAATTAGCAAGTGGCCTGGGTGAACTGAGTGGTTCCTTGGAGCGTGCAGTGTTTGCTGTACAGGAGTGTATTGATGTGAGTTCCCTTCCACTCAGAGGAGCTAGTGAAGGTATCCATCCTTTGCAAAAGTTTTTATACCTTCCCTACAGAGGGGAGTTCTAAGTCATTGTTGTCCTCTTGGATAGATGCAATAATTTTCTTGTTGTTCTCTTTAAATCTCATTTTACTTCTTAGAGAGCCATACTCAAATACTTTGGTGGAAAAACTGAATTGCCAACAACTTTTGGCTAGTTGCTGATCTGCTGGCCAAATTCCTGCATCATCTCAGATGCAATTGGGGCAGTTCATGGAAGTTCACGTAGGTTCATGGACTTGCATCTAAGGAAAGGGAGGCTCATGAGAGTTTGCACTGCCACATGAAGTAGCTGCCAGCTACCAGGGTTCATGACGTCACCACCTTGTCTACAAAGTTCCCTTGTTCCCATGACACTCATTGATCAGACTAGAGGTCCATAGAGATATTTTCTTCACCAGCCTTTGTTCTCTGCATGTCCTTCCTGTCCGTGGTGGTCTTGGGTGCTATCTGAACTGGTGCTTACTGCTGGGTCACTGCAATGCATGAGAAGTATCAAAGGGGTGAAGAAAAGATTTCTGAGGAAGAGAGACCTGCTTGATTAATTTCAGCTAGGCTGCTTTCCTCTTTCCATAACAACTTCTTTCAAACAAAGCATTAAATTTCCATGAATTTCAGGCTCATTTGAAGAGCCTCCCATCCCTACATGATCAAACACAACTGTTTGGTGTCTGTCTAGGAACTAGGAAAGGGCAGTTACCTGAAAGCATTCTCAGCACAGGTGCTCCTTGGTGGATCTACAGAACTTCTGGGGTTGTTTCATGTAGAAATATTCTTCAGGTCCATGTAGACACTCTTGCTGTCAGCATAAGTAAAGTATTGATGGATTAAAGTCTAATAAAAGTACTTCCCTATAGCTCCAAAGTACTTTACTGGTTTTTACCAATTATCAGCAGGTAATGCAGTCCAAGGAAACATTTGGCAGTCATGCAGTGATTAAGCGATTTGGGCATGCACAGTGCTCAGCTTCTAAAGAGATGAAGCCTCTCTACCAGCCAAAGTCCAAATGTTTTCCCTGGTTGTCTCTCCACTGTCACCACCCAGTGCCCAGGCAGGCACTGTGGGGAGCACAATTGGTTCATGAGGGCTGCTCAAGTCTCAGCCACACAGGCAGCCTGTCAAGATCCATTGTCTCCATCTCCCGTTGTGCAGAGCTGCTGGCAAGGTTTTATACATTGTGGAGCAGGCATCCTGGTTGGTGCATGAAATTAGCAGAGGTAGGCACAGTGATGTTCTTCACCAGCTGTCCAGCTGGGATCATGGTATTTTGTACAGCTGTGCAGCAAAGACAGGCTGCGGGCTGAAGTGGAAGAGCAAAGGAAATGCCTCCCTCAGACTCAGCTGCTCACCGTGCCTGTGATGAGGGCTGGCTGGGCCCAGTGTACTGATGCTGTACAGTGCTGTGCAGACATCCAGGAGCTGAAGGGTCTGCTGAGGGCAGAAATGTGAAGACATTCACAGTTCCATTGCATGAAGGCAGAAACATGTATGGAAAGATGGACAATGAGGGATTCACTTGGTGTGGCTGCCTGATGTGTGGCTGGGGAGAAGGCCCTCTGTGAGACCTTGCAGTTACAGACAGGCAATGGTTGCTGGCAGACAGAGTTTTCTCTGGGATCACAGAGGCTCCCCTTCCCTGTGTTTCAAGCCCATCTATCTCAGGGGCCCACCTGCCAGTTTTTGGGGGTAGGGGCCCCAGAGAGCATACCATCCTGCCACTTAGCAGGCCTGAACCAGTCCTGCAACTATATCTGTATAAACACATTGCAAACAGGGCCACACTGCAAAAAGTCCACAGTATTTATGGGGGATCACCATTGTCTAGGAGTGCAAAGCCTCCTGAGCTCCACGATTTCTCAGATTTTATGTGAAGGGCTATTTCTGTGCTTTTATGTCAGCACCCTGTGTCTGGCATTTGAACCTGTATAATCTTTTAAAGAGTAAAAGAGCATTATCACTAAGTTTCTTGCACTCATGCCATGGAATGAGCAATTAGAGCATAGGGCACATGTGGAGAAGCAGCCATATTTCCTGCATGTCCCAACCATGGGAAGAATTCAGGGTAGGAAAAAATGTTTGAAGACCTTCCTGGGGCTCCACAGTATGAAACCATCTCTTGACATTAGCTGAACTCTTTCCCTTTGGTTTTCTTCAAAAAGTGCAAGCAGACTCTGCTGGGTTCAGGTGAGGGCAATGGAAGGTGTTAAACGGCTGGGCTGGGTCCACCTGGACACTTCAGGGATTTCTGGTTCCACCTGGCTCCACAATTTAAAAGGTCTAGGCTAAGAGCCTAGTAAGAGAGCAGGATGGGTGTTGTAGGGCAGTCTAGGGCTGCATCAGGAGCTATGCTCTTCTGGGTGTTTCTTTGTCCCCTGGCTTTGGTTCTAGGGGCTCATGTCAGTGTTTTTTCTGATCCTACCCTGCTGACTTGTGGCCAAAAAAGCTTACAGCTCACCTTACCTCCAGGCTGGGAAGGGAATGCTTCATTTGTGCTGACTACTTGGGGTGAGGCAGTATCACGAGGGATTTTTAGCCGTATGTTTGCCCAAATGCAGAGGTGCATGGAATGAAAAGAAAGGAACAGGTTTTGATGTCAAGTGTTGTTGAACAGCTTCTGTGTGTCTTGCATAATCAGGGGGCTGTTTAAATGACACAGCAGTCAAGGACTTGGTTGAGTGTTGTGCCTGGATCTACATGTCTTAGCTGCTGGGTTCTCTCACTGCTGTTTCAGACCCTAATACTGGCTATGTGCCTATTTCCTACAGAAAGGTAGGATTGTAGTGGGTCTGATCCAGACCCTGTGGGACTCTGAAGCCCCTGCTGCTGTGTCCTCTTTCCTTAGATACTGAAGGGAAGGCACATGCTCTGCAGAATGACTCTGGCTGTGGGCTCTTGGTATCTAGGACTCCAGATGGCTCCAGGAAAGTATCAGTCTCTTATGCTGGCTGTTACGTCTTTGAGTGGGTGAGTGACCTTAGAGATTCTGCTGGGACTGTAGCTACTGGTGCTCTGTAGCCTCCTGACTGGCGTGGCTTTCCCCTAGGATCACAATTACCTTATACTGGTTGGGCTTGAAAGAACAGATGCTGCTGGGCAAAAGGTTCTTTATGAAGAGACGCTGCTCAGGTGCCCTGTGGACCTTCCTGGTAAGATACAAGCACCTGTCAGAATCTTGTGGTGATGACTGCCATTCCTTTCAGATGGCTGTTCCTAGTCAGTTTGGGGGCTAGGAAAGAGGACTTACTGCTGTGCAGAAAACTCCATGGAAAAGGGTTTGGACATTGGAGCCCCCAGCTTGCTGGGGACTTGTGCCTCTCTGCAGGGTCAGCAGATGAATATGTTCATTGTGTCTCCCAACCATATTCTGGCTACATGAGTTCCTGCAAGCTCAGGGATTGAACTGGAGACTAGGTGCAATGGTTTTCTTAACTACCAAGAGTTGATTTAGAATACTTTATCTTGACAGATCCAATGTAAGCCCAGTTTCCTGCACATGGCCTCAGAGGGAGTCTCTGTTCCATGGAAATGTAGGTCCCTCCTGGGCAGGCTTCCATGCCAGATCCAGGCAATGTGTTTGACTCTCGCCTGACTCTTACTTCTCTTGATTTGTATGCAGAGTCACCAGGACACCTTCACCCAGTGTCTTTCCTGTTTTTGTCTCCTTGCTCTTGTGCTTTAGCTGCAAAGATCTGCTGTTTTTTCCAGCCCTAGATGCTCCAAGCAGTAGTGTCTGTTCAGCTGTTCCCAGCCAGGACCGGCTGCCATGTGCCTCCCTGCCCATCAGCCAGGGAGACTGTGAAGCACGAGGCTGTTGCTATGACCCCAGAGACAGCGTGAAGCCTTGCTACTTTGGTAACACAGGTAAACCTGTGCAGCTGTTCTCCCTCCTTTCTGAGCTGCTGCAAAACATTTCTCAACAATATCACAAGGATTTCTCACTATGCTGGCAGGGCAAGCTTGGTGTTTACCATTCCTGCAGGTGGCTCAGGGCTATGTTTTTGGCTGCCAAGAATATCATGTCCCAGTGAAGCGCCCAGCATTTTCCACTGTATTGCAACAGACTTGGTTTTGTGCCCAGCATCGGTGTTGTTGTTGGAGCTGGTTGCACTTGTCTTGCCATACTTAGCACATGTTTTGTGGGTTAAAGGCAGGACAGCTTGCAGGACTTGTTGGACTTGTCTTGTTGTGATGTTAGGGTCTCCTTTCCATCCCTCCTATTTCTGAGCTCAAACTGATTATATCTTTTTCTCCAGTGACAGCTCATTGCACACCAGATGGCCAGTTTTCCATAGCTGTTTCTCGAGATGCAACCCTGCCACCTGTTGCCCTGGACTCAGTGCAACTGGCCAGTGGACACAGTACTGGCTGTGTCCCTGTCCTGACAAACAATGCCTTTGTTGTGTACCAGTTTCCACTCTCGGCCTGTGGCACTACTTTTCAGGTAAGAGATACAGCTGTTGCTAGGCTGGAAGAGCTGGAACAACCTGACATGGTTTTGGCTGCTTAATGGACATCCTATAAACTTCCACAGGCCAAGTGCTGTTCTCCAGCCTGATTTTACCACAGTGATGGTGCCTATCTGTCATTCCAGATAACTGGAGACCAGGCCATATATGAGAATGAGTTGGTGGCAAGCAGGGATGTGAAGACTGGGAGCCTTGGCTCTGTCACTAGGGATAGCATTTTCAGGTATTATCCTGGGGCTGATGTTGCTGGGAGTCATTGTGTTCAATATCACTAGAGAAATTCCTGCTTATCACAAGCTCTGAATTCACATGAGGACACTGGAGTAGGTTAAAGACTGCTATATCTCTAATTAGTAGGAATTAAGCTGTTGATCAGAGACAATCTGCAGATTCTCAAATCTAAACACTAAAGAGAATTTCAAGTATTTGTTATAAGGGAGTGTTAGAAGGAAGGGGATATAAATAAAGATGATGATACATTGCCATATTGGAGAAAGAGGGTATCAGAGTGGCTTTTCTTATTTTTCTGATTTGGAACTTTCCTTTCTCCCCAGGTTACATGTCCGATGTAGTTATTCCATCAGTGGGAGCTCTGTTCCCTTGAGTGTTCAGGTCTTTACATTGCCACCACTCCCTGCTGTGTCCCAGCCAGGTCCACTGTCTTTGGAGCTGTGTGTTGCCTCAGGTAGGAGAAGTTTGCAGGACCTACTCAAGCCTCTCGGTGCAGGGCTCTGGTCTCTGAAGAGTAATAGTGGAGTATTGATGGGTTAACCCAGACTGCTTCTCTGCCATCAGGGCATCTACTGCTATAAAGGATGCCAATTCCTGTTTCTTCCTGCTCCTAAATATCTTTTGGGTTTCTTTCACCCCAGATGGAAGCTACACTTCCTACTATACAGACAGTGACTATCCTGTTCTGAAGACTCTGAGAGAGCCTGTTTATGCAGAAGTCAAGATTCTTCAGAGAACAGACCCTGATCTGATTTTAGTTCTGCACCACTGCTGGGCCACACCAAGCTCCAACCCCCAGCAACAGCTCCAGTGGCCAATTTTGGTGGATGGGTAAGTGACTTGTAAAAAACTTTGGGTTGGGGGAATAACTTGCTTTTTTTTCACTGCTTACCTTTCCTCCTCAGATGCCCTTATGCAGGGGACAATTATCAGACACAGCTGATGCCTCCGAGTTTCACCTCAGGACTACTGTTCCCCTCTCATTACCAGCGTTTCACCCTCTACACGTTCAGCTTTGTGGACCCCACTGCCCAAGAGAAACTCTCTGGGCTGGTAAGATCCTGTCCTGGCTGCCTATCTTCATATTGAAGACAAGTAAAATGTGCAAGCAATAAGAATCTTTTCATAACTATGAATCTCTTGGCCTCCTTGGGGAAGTGGAACAAAGACTAGTAAAATCCCCTGCTGAAACAGAAGGGGAGAGGTTGATGCAATAAACCTTATTCCCTGAAGTCAATGTGGTAGAGGTAAGAGACATCACTGGAGGGGTGTGACAAAAGATGTGACTACTAGAATGGTAGTAGTTTACTTAAGCAAGTGCTAGCTTGTCTGGTGAATTAGATTAGATAGCTAGTGTGCTCTAGCTATGCTAATCGATGTTCTCGAAACTAAATTTCTTGGCCAAAATCACTTGGAAACAACTTGGAGTACCTTTTGAAGCATCTGGGCTCTGAATCTCATTGAACTCCTCCAGTTGTCACATGAAATTCACCCTGCCTTGTACTGTTTGCTCAGTGTTCCTAGGATCAGCTAATACTCAAAATTTGTCTCAGCTGTACTTAACAAAGTTCACAGTGAAGTGGTGTTCTGGCAGCAGCATTCCAGGAGTCAGGGAGAAGTGCTGTAAAACTGGATTTGACCGAGTTTGAAAGTGTACGGTGTAAGGGTTCCGAAGTGGACAGCAGAGGGCTCCAAGGCTACAGCCTGGATGTGAAACCAGCCCGACAGACTCTCCTGCTTTCCCCCTGAAGGTCCAGGTGCGCTGGTGTGGAGCTAACTCTCCTCATAGCAGCCCGTTTGGTGCTGTGGCTTTGGATTTGTCGCTAAAACAGTGTTGAAAACAGATGTTCTTGCTGTTTGCTGAATAGCACTTACAAAACACCAAGGCTTTCTTTCTCTTCATTCTGCCGTCTCTCAACCCCAAGTGAGTAGGCATGGGATAGGCTAGAAGCTGGGAGGCAGCAGAGCTGACTCAAAATGACTGAAGGAATACTCCATGCTGCACGATTTTATGCTCAGCAGTAAGCATTAGGGGATTTAATCTGCCAGTGTAGCTGATGCTCTAACTGCCTGGGCACTGGTCTGCCTGTAGGAGCAGGGTAGGTGACTTGCCCTTACATCACTTGTGCTTTAGGGTTTTTTCTTTCCTCTCCTCCTGTCCTTCATTTATTTAAATGACAATAAAGACATTTATTGAAATGTCTTTATTGCTCCAGCTACAGGTTTTCTTGCTTTTGCTCTTCCTATTCTGTCTCTGCCCTGCTGGGGCAGAGGAGGGGGAATGAATAAGTGGCAGCATGGCTGCTCAGCTGTTGGCTGGGGCAAAGCACCACACTAGGCTATCACCAGTCTCCAGACACTGCCTGAGGGATTTCAGGCTGTGTTCCATTTTTCTCTAGGTGTACCTGCACTGCAGTGCATCGGTGTGCCACCAGTCTGTAAAGGAGTCCTGTGTCACCACTTGTCCTTCCAGCGTCAGTAAGTGTCCTGGCCTTCTCCTTCCCTTCCAAAAGGGCAGCAAGGGCCTAGTCTCCAGTCTGGGGAGTAGGAGACATGTATCCTATGGAGTAATTCCCTTGAAGCATGGACAGCTTGACAAAGCATTTCCTGCTCTTTTCCACTGACTAAGGGCTCTTCTTATGCCAAAAAGACAGAGGTCTTCGCGGGCTAAGGTCTGTGTGGGCTCACGTGGAAACTGTGGCCTTCAAAGCTTCCTGTGTGCTGAGAAGCTGACCTGGAAAAAGTTTGGTGGCCTTCAGGGCTACACTTCTTACCTACAACCTTCACCTTGCTCTGTAGGGGGTAAAAGGAATGCTGAGCATCCTTTTCAGGAAGGCACTTCCCACGTCTCTGGCAAAGGCCCTGTGATTTTCCTCCAGGATGAGCTAAGACAGGACACAGCCAAGGATGGCCGCAGTAAGTGTGGCAGCAGAGCAGGGGAAGGGGGCTGGTCTAAGGCTTTTCTACAGGAAGGCTGAGCCCCTAAGGCATCACTGTGCCTCACTGGGAGCATTAACTGGGGTGTCTCTCCCCACAGGAGCGACGGTGCAGGCTACAGCCCCCTGGGCTCTGGGATTTGCTGCTGTGGCAACTGGGACAGCTCTGTTTGTGGTGCTTGTGGTTTCTGTGCTGTGGCGAAGGAAGGTGTCAGCAACACATGAAATCAACTGATTGCAATAAAGTGACTGTCAAACCCATTTGTTTGGTGGTACCCCTTCCCCTGGAGACTCTAGCTGTAAGACTTTATTTATGAGGCAAAAATTACCCCAGCAGCTTTGAAAGCCTTCCAAATGCTCTGAATTCATCTCACTCTGGAATTCTTCTGCTCTGGGTTTGGTGTTACCTGTCTGCCTTGGACAAGCTGGAGACCTTGTCAAGGCCTGGGCTGCAGACTGAGGCAGGTTTGATGCTGGGTGGTGTTGGCATTTCTGTTAATGAGTATAACCTAGGCTCCATTCAAACACTGAGCGGAAGTGCAGCAAAACTCACTAAAAGCAGATCCTGCAGCTACTTCTCTGGGGATGCAGAGCAGTTGTTTTGACTGTGCCAAGGAGCTGGGAATTGCCCACTTGTCCCTAAGTCATTGGGTAAGTTAGAGCTGTGCTCATGTGGCAGGACTGGAAAGCAAGGATGCCAAAGCACTATACAAGTGGGCCTTCCTAATGATGCTGTGCATGAGCCTGCCTTTCTTGCCCTAGAAACAGAAAAGGATAGGTAGCATTTTTCTGGTGCATGAGAATATGGAAACATCATTCCAAGTGGGGAAAAAATAAAAGGGCCTAGATGGTTTGAACTTCAGGAGAAAAAAAAATCAAACTTTAGAGCTTAATTTTAAGCCTTCATGTGACAGCAGGCTGTTAGGAGTGTTCAGAGGTCTTGGATTAAAGCTAATTTGACATCACTCTTGGCATAAAAGTACTTTTCTTATTTTTTAAACTTATTTATTTTGGATGAGAAATATAACTTGCCATTTTGAGCATCAGGAGCAGCTCAGTGTGGTGTTGTCAGTCCCAGCAGCTGGGCAGTATCCCTCTTTGCTTTCTGAGGTCCTGGGTGAAAACAGTGCAGCAAAACCCTCCAGGGAGTGGATGGGAAATGAGGTTCCACCCCCTTCTTCCTGCCCAGCCTGGGGGGAGCCCTGGTGCTTGCACTTACACTGAGAGCTGCTTACAGCTGATGGGGTAGTCCTTGAGGGGAAGGAAAAATGCTTTTCCCTATTTTCCTCTAAGGCTTGATTAGAAGTTCTTCCTGTTAAGGGCAGGACAGAAGTCTTAATTGTATTGCTTTGGGGCCTTCAAAAGGGAAGAGTAGCACTTGCACATAGAAGCAAAAAACTGATCGGTAGCTTGCTTGAGGCAGCAGATGTTGTTCTTTTTAATTAGGTTCTGCTGCTACTATGTGATTGGAGGGTATTAATGAGTGGTAGGATCTGCATTTTAATTCCTTTCCTATTCCAAGAAACTTCAGGAGTAATCTTGTTCTTTATTTTTCTAGTAGAAATACTTTTCCCTGCTACTGTCAGGATAACCAGTGATCTTTGCCTTGCAAACTTTCACACAAACTTTCACACAAAGTTTTCACACAAAGTGCAAACCTTTGCACACTTTCAAAATCTAACCAGAAAAAAAGACAACCAAGTTGTAAGGTGGGAGGGAGATGGAGATCACAGGCTGGAAAAAACTATCATCTGAAGATAGGTCAAACAGCCTCCTCTTCTGGAGCAGGCCTCTGGCAATTAAATTACCTTGGTCCAGGTGGGGCTCTGTCTGGGAAAGCTGAGTATAAATTCATAATGTGCCTCATGACAAGTCTTTAGTAGCAGTCTGTAATGTTAATTAACTGGGCAATTAGAAGAGTGATATAAGCCACACCTTCTCAGTGCACCAGGCAGGGTGCTCTGGCACTGGTCTTAATTGTGTGTGTGCAAGCTAAGACCTAAAGACCTCCTCTCTGCTACTGGACCCTTCCTGTGCCTCAGTAAGAGAGACAGAAATATTTGCTTAGAGAGCTTAGATGCCTATGTGGATGATGAGGGGGCTGTGAGAGTCAAGTCCCTGCTGCCCTTTGTTGAGTTCCTGAGCCATCCCAAAGTGGCAGGGAGCTCTGGGTGTGTATCCTATGGGAATTGCATGGATTCCCCTGCAGGGACTGTCCCTTTTGCTGCAGAGCTGTGTGTAGGAGGCTGGTATGTGTAGGGTACATGCAGTGCTAAGTGGAGGTGGGTGAGCAAAGAAATAAATTTAATTCCCTGCTCCACTCTGGGGAGTCTTATGTGTTTAAGGCTTGCTACTTGGTCCTCATCTGGCAGGAAGGCTGTGAGCAGCAGCAAGATGAGTTGTTCTTGTGAAGCACTGGTACAGGGTGAAAGGCAGCCTTCAGGTTTCCTCCTCTGTTGCATAGGCCCTGTGTTCACTGCCTGTTCTCCAACACAGCTGGGGTGTTTAGTGGCTCTCATGTTTGTCAATATTTGCTTCTGCAAAAAGTGTATTCTTTCCCTTCTCCCTTCACAGATACACTTCTGGCTTACTTTTTTCGTGGCCTCTCTTTAGCTGAGTCTCATTGACTTTTCACCATTACTTTCTTTTGATTACCTGTGTGTTGCTCCTTGTGTCAGCACCCTCTTTAGCTTCACTCTGTGTCACCTGGTTATGCAGTTCAGTTAAAGCTGAACAGTTATACAATTATAGCTATACAGTTCAGTTAAAGCTGTTGGGCAGTGTGGTACACGGTGGCTTAGACACCTGCAGGGCAAAGGAAGTTGCTCTGTCCAGGAGGGTGCTGCTGGCTGGGAGTCAAGGCTGAGGCCAGCTAAGATCTGTCATTTGAGGCTGTTGTGCAGTACTGCTACTGAACCCAGGTTGTCAGAAAGAAACCCCAGTGCTGAGCATCAGTGCACTTTGCTCCAGTGCCTTCGCTGATTCTTTTTGGGAGTGCTGTGTGTGCTGCCTGTCTGTGGAAGCAAAACCCAGCAACAGCACCTAATAAAAGGCTGCTCACAATTAATGCATGTGTTTTTCATACCTGAACTTTCAAAGGGCTCTCCTCACCCTCTAATGCCTTCAGAACAGCACCTCCTTCCAAAGAGCGAACTTGCTTCTTTGCCAAAGTTAAAGATGTTGTTTAAAAGCTTGGAGGTAACAATTCCTTTCTTGAGTAGCTGTGCTCACCTGACACCCTAAAGGTGTGGCAGTTGCTATATTACAAGCCAGGTGCTCATTAATAAAATATTGAAAACAATTATCATAATAGTGATGCTTTTATTAAATTTCTTATGCTTGGATTACAATGGATCCTGGAGTGCAGAACTATACAGTATGTTACACATTATAAATACATTTATTTCTGAAAAATACATGAACATATTTAATACAATGCTATAATAAAGAAGAGTGCTAGTTTTAGTTAAAAAAATACAAAAAAACCCCAAACACAAAACATTCAACAAGCTTATACCATGAATAGAGAGGGTTGTAGAAAATACCAGTTCATGATGCTATGTCTTAAAACACTTTAAATTCAGTTTACACTGATTCACATTATGTACAGTCTGTAAAAAAGCTGGAGGGATAGTGGAGGATGTAAGTTAAGTTAATGCAGGATTTTTGCCCCCTGTATTTATGGAGATATATGGAATATTCACAGAATAATCAAGTCATAAATCTTTCTAGCTTTGGATGAAGCTAGCAAGATATAGAGTGAATAAGCAAGTCCTGCACCAGCAGCTACAACTGAAAAATTAAACACGGCACCTACTTTAGGGTGCTAACATTGAGTCAGCACAGCCTTTTTTTTACTTTTTAATGGGGGTTTGGGTTGTGGGGTTTGGTGATTGTGTTTGTAGGGTTTTTTTTGAGATGCTAAGTAACAACAGTAGCAATCCTTCTGCATACTTGAACCCTGCCCTCACTCATCCCTGCAAACTCTACTGGCCTGGGAATGGCCTGGCTGAGATGCTCTGAATCCAGAAAAGATCCTGCTCTGGTTTGGAGGACTCCAATGGCTCCAGCTGATGTGGATGAGCAAGGAAAAAGCATCTGTTATTGAAAGACTAAACTTGCTGAAACTTATCATTCCTGCCAGCTTGTCAAATCTTGGTTCTCAGGCAAGTTGGGATTGGGGAAGGATTTTTAAACAGCAATTACTTGACATGTAATCATATTATAATTTATGGGGTAGAACAATCCTTTATCATGAAGCAATGCTAGTTCACTTAAATCTTTACTCCATGTGTATTAATTATTTTGCCAGTACCAATAGGAGCTAGTGTGCAGAGACCTCTGCAATTACGGGACTTTCAGAAGCGTGCACTGCCTGTTCCCTGAGTCAGGAGGCAGTGGACATGTGGCAATAAGGCAGCTACCACACACAGTCATAGTGTTATGCAGTTGTTAGTGTATCCCAAAAGAGCACCAGTTTATAAAGGATGTCTTTGAATTACTTTCCCTTGCAGCCTTGCTCTCCTTAACTCTTCCCAACAGAGAGAGCAAGGCAGAGCTGTACAGTACTGCCCCACCTACAGCCTCAGGCCCCCACCTGCACAGACAGAGCACTTCAATGGAACTTAAAAGCAGGAATTCAAGCCTGGTGTCCTGTCCCCCGTCAAAAAAAGAAAAGGAAAAAAAAAAATAAAAGATTGAGTACACAGTGGCTGGGTGTGGCAGAGACTGCTCTGGATGCCCCCTCCAGCCTCTTGAAAGGCTGATTCCTGCAGTGCTGCTTACTCTGGTCTTTACAATGAGCATCTACAATGCCAACTACTGTGCAGGGTAGCACCAGAGTCCAGGGGCCTCCGCAGAAGGAGCAGGCCCACAGGATGAGACACTAATAGTGGATTCAGGAATGACCCTAGCTTTATGTACTCTGTTTTCCGGTTGGATTCCAGTGAAATGGCACAGGTGGCCATAGGCTGCTCTGAAGGGAAGAACTGTGCTGGGGACAGGGACTGCAATTCAGGTTCCCCAGAGGGAGGAGGCTGTCCTTTCAACAGCCACATCTGCCCTGGGCAATGAGTCTCTGGCACTCCTCTAGATGATGCTATGTGCCATGAAGCTAATATTTATTTCAGTTGGAGAAGTCTCCAGAAAGTAATGGTAATTTCAAGGCTTCAGTGTTTCAGGTAATTCTGTTCCCAGCCCAGAGAAGAGGAAGAATTTCCAAATGTCACAAGTCCCTGTTGCTTGTGTTGCTAAGATGCTAA